GGGGAAACCACCCACCGGCGAGGAGGCGCCCGCGGGCGTCGCGCTTGCAGAACCTGCACCGGTGTGGAGCGGGGTGGTGGGGTCGGAGTGGCAGAAGCCTGTGGCCGTTTGGGGGTGTGGGGTGGGGGAGAGAAAGCGGCTCACCCTTTACCAGATGCCTCTCCACCGTGTCCCTGACGGCTCTCCAGTGCATGCCCGGCGGCTTGTAGACCGCGAAGAGCCCTTGCAACGCCGTGCCCGCCGCCGCCGCAGCTGCAGCCGCCGCCCGCATGGCGCCCGTCCTGTCTCTCTCTCTCCCCCCCCCCCTCCACCTCCGCCCCGTCCTCGGCCGGCGCAACCGCCTCTCCGGTCCCTCCCCGGCTTAGCACTGCCGGGTTCGGCCCTACTGCAAATAGAGTCCCGCCGGGAACACGAGCCGAGGCAAAGCGCCAAAAGCGCAAAGCGGTTGCTGCGCGCAACGCCCGGGAGCAACGTGCCAAGAGGGTTGTGGGGGGGGCGGCGAGAGTGGGGGCTGCTTGGAAGACCGGGGTTGGGGAGGGGGTCTTTGCAACGGGTGGGCAACTCCAACACACGCACACAGACATACACACACACACACACACACACACACACACACACACACAGACACACAGACACAGACACAGACCGGTCCCTACATCCAGAATACTCCGCGGTGCGGAGAATCGGTGCGCAAGGCGCCTTGGAGGTCAGTGGCTCGGGCATTAAAAAAAAGGGGGGGGGGGGGGGGGGGGCGGTGGGGGGCTCGCGGTGCCCTCCCTCCCCGTTGCCTTTGCACGGCTGCGGAGGATGGGCTTTGGAACGCAACGGTGGGGAGCCGCCAGCTCTTCCCTCCACCAAAGGCGTACAGATCCGTCGGCACCCAAGGCTCGACCTTGCCCTCCCCCCTCCCTTGAAAGATGGGGAGGGGAGGGCTTCAACTCCCAGAATCCACCCCCTCTCCCCACACCTGGGAGTTGGAAGCCCACCGGGCTTAAAGGGTCCAAGGTGGAGCCTTGCCGCGTGTTCCTCTCCGGGATAATTTTAATAATAAAGTTAAAATTATAATAAAGTTCTGGTTACTTTCTGGGGTACAAAGTGCTTTACCGATTTATTTCTGCTGGCTGGGAAAGATGACCCAGTTGGTTGTCACAGCTGAATGCAACAGTTTTTTGGGGTCCTGTATGCCTGTGTGTCCCCCCCTCTCCTTTCTCCCTCTTGCCTTGCAAAATAGGGGTAAGGGATTCCACCACTCCACCATCCCAATCCGGAGCAATTCGTTCCTTAAATCCCAAGCGAAACCCTCCTTCCCTGCTTTGTATGCTTTGCATCCCCAAACCCCCAAAACTTTAACCTTAGACCGTCTACTATTGACCTCACCCCTTTCCTAAGAGGTCTGTAGGGGGCGTGCATAAGCGCACCAACGTGCCTACCGTCCCTGTCCTATTGTTTCTTTTATATTTTTTCTTATATGTATCCATTCCATATACTTATAACTATGTTTAGACTTATACCTGTTATCTTATAATCGCTTGACAAACTAAATAACAGAAATGCTTCTTTGGAAGGCAGGGAGCAGGGGGTTGTTTTGAAGTCGCCGCTAGAGGGCGCTTTCCTCCACTTTTCTCTTTTGCTCTTCTTGGCCAGATGGTGGCGCTGTCCAAACTTGGCAAAAACGTCTTATTATTCCCATCCTTCGCTTGCAACAATGCCTTTACCTGCCCTGCTCTGGAAAAAAAAATGCTTTTAAAACAACAACAACAAATCTCGTTTTGTATAATTTTGCCCTCACAGAGGACAATCCCAACCATGCACAGGCTGCTGTCCAGAGGGGCTCTGAGATTCCTGCCTTGGATGGGGAACGTGGGGAACGTTTTCGAGTCCCGCTGGCTCACAGGCAAGTTTTCCCAGATCCTCGTTCTCAAAACGCCTCCCTTTCTGATTTAAAAAATAATAATACATTGATATGCCCTCACCTTGCTGTCGTGCAGTTTGTAATGCTCTTTGGTTGCAGGGGAACGGATTGTGCAGGAGTCACGCATTCTTACCCATACTCGTTAACATTAGCAGTGCTGCGTTTTAAAGGAGTTTAATTTTAATGACATGATGGCATTCTTCCAGTATTCGAGAGGCTGTCACGCCAGGGGTGAGATTTTACCAGTTCGCTAGAACCAGTTGTTAACATTCTAAGTAGTTCGGAGAACCGGTTGTTAAAAGAAATTACTGGTCTAATCCTGTAAGGAAGGCAGGAAGGAAACATTCTGGTGTTGCTTACAGAAACTGCCTCTCTGTTAACGCTTATTACGTTCTTGGGAGGACTAGACTTCCTGTCTCTGGAACTTCTGGAGTTTTTTTTTTTTCCTCTCCTTTGCTGGTACTTTGCTTGTGTGGAGGGACCATTGAAAAATGTGACTTATGACCGTTTTTCACACTTACGACTGTTGCAGTAGGTCATCTAGTCCAACCCCCCTTCCAAGCAGGAGACCCTATACCAATTTCTGGCAGATGGCAGTCCAGTCTCTTCTTCCAGGGATGAAGCTCCCACAACTTACTTACTTCTTTCCTTCTTTCCTTCTTTCCTTCTTTCCTTCCTTCCTTCCTTCCTTCCTTTCTTTCTTTCTCTCTCTCTCTCTCTCTCTCTCTCTCCCCCTCCCTCCCTATCTGTCTATCAGATTAACCAAATTGGGAGGGACCTTGGAGGTCTTCTAGTCCAACCCTCTTCTCTGGCAAGAAACCCTACACCCTGTCTGACAAAAGGCAGTCTAATATCTTCTTAAAAGTCTCAAGTGGTGAAACTCCCACAACTTCCGAAGGCAACTTCTATTCCTTGGCTTGATTGTCAGAAAATTCCTTTTTATTTCTAGGTTGAATCAATCAATCAGAATAGAGCCGGAAGGGACCTTGTAGGTCATCTAGTCCAACCCCCCACCCAAGCAGGAGACCCTATCCCGTTTCTGACAGATGCCAGTCCAGTCTCTTCTCGAAAGCCTCCAGGGATGAAGCTCCCACCACTTCCAAATGCAAGCCGTTGTCTTGAAGTACCTTATTTCTGATCCTCTCAACTTTAACCCTTTGTTTTCCCTGTACAGGACGCACAATTGGCCACACCAGCCCCCTCCTGGCCTTCCTGCGCCCCCTGGCTGAAGCGAACAATTTCCCCCTCTATCCAAACCACATCCCCACCAGCCTCTTGCAGAAATGCCTGCTGACCGCCGGATCGGCCTTCATGTCTCTCTACAACCCCTATCGCCACGGTGAGCTTCGGGGGTTGCGGGGTTGCGGCAATGGTGAAGATTCCCTCCACCACCACCTTCCAGCTACCTGGCCTGATTTACAGCCAAACTCAAGGCCCGCGGGCCAGATCTGGCCCGTGGTGGGGGGTCTTACCCTGGAAACAGCCAAGGACCAGCCCGCGGTGCCTCTGCCAGCGAAAATGGAGCTCGGGAGGGCTGTGCGTGGCCTCCCTAAGCTTTGTGTTTGCTGGCAGAGGGCTGCAGGAGGCCGTCACGGCTGAAAATAGAGCCTTGATGAGTGACGTCAAGTTGGCCATGCCCCCGGCCACACCCCCACACCCCAAAATCAAACACAACCCTGATGTCGCCCTCAATGTTTGACATCCCTGGTCTAAGTGCTATTGCTGCCTGCCTGCCTGCCTGCCTGCCTATCTATCTATCTATCTATCATCTATCTATCCTTTTAAATTTATCTATCTATCATCTATCCTCTTACATCTATCTATCCCTTTACATCTATCTATCCCTTTACAACTGTCTATCTATCTATCTATCTATCTATCTATCTATCTATCTATCTATCTATCTATCTATCCTCTTACATCGATCTATCTAAGCAGTTTAAAATATCATCCTCTTGCCCCCAACAATCTGGATCCTCATTTTACCCACCTCGGAGGGATGGATGGCTGAGTCAGCCTCAAGCCTATTGAGATTTGAACTGCCAAATTGCAGACAGCAGTCAGCAAAAGTAGCCTGCAGTACTGCACTCTAACCACTGCATCACCATGGCTCAATTGCTATTGCTATTAGGGCCGTGTTGTATCACTCTCTCTCTCTCTCTCTCTCTCTCCTTTTTCTTTCCTTTTTTCTTCCTTCTTCCAGATATGATAGCTGTCCTTGGAGAGACAACGGGTTCGATAGCTTTACAAAATCTCTGGGAACAGATGAAGAGCGACCCAGAAGGAAGGCAGGTCTTACAGTAAGTGAGTTCCTCTTTTCTTTTAACCTGCAGCCTGGATAAATGAATGATTTTTGAGGAGATAAACCTAAAAAGCCCCCCTGTGTGAATTAGTGAATCCATTCTCACTACAGGTAGTCATATTTTTTTTTGCTTTAACCTAGTTATCGAATGAGATCGTTTTACAAAAGAATGCCAGCGAAGGTTTGGCTCCTTGACTTACAACAGTTCATTTAGCGAACGTTCAAAGTTACAAAGGCATTGGGGGAAAAGTGACTTAGGACTGTTTGTCACACTTATGACCATTGTAGCCATTTGGCTATTGACTTATATTTACGACCGGTCCTGGGGTCATGAGATCTATCATTGCGACTATATGACAAGCCAAGTCCATCTGGGAGGCCAGATTCACTTAACAACTGGGTTATTAACTGAGCAAATGCAGTGATTCACTTAACCTCTCTGGCAGAGAGGTCACAAAATGGGGGCAAAACTCACTTTAACAAATCTGTGATGATCCAGGGTGGGATACAAAATAAACACAGTCACAAAAATAGGTGAAGCCCCTTTTATTCCTTCACTTTTCTTCCAAGCTCCAAATATACTGGAGACAAAAAACTCCCACACAAACAGTTACAAGAAGGAGGAAATGCTGTTTAAATTATAAAGAGTAAAAAACAACACAAACCAGGCAAGATAAGGGCTGGAAGACGTCCACAGATATCAGGACACACACTGGGAAGGATGCCAAACTCAGAGAGGAACAATAAACTAGAAATATTTCCATGCTTTGTTTCCAGCACTGGCCTGTACGCAGGTCAGTCCTCTTATCCGGTTGTCACAGCTGCAGCCCATGAAGAGGATCAAGGCCCTCTCCTCCCCAGTAGACCATGTCTCTCCCTTATCCTCTCCTCCCTGTGTGTCCTAGGATGGAGGGGGGATGGGCCTGGGTCCTCCTCTGACTGCTCAGCCAGCCTCTGCCCTTCCCCAGCCTCCTCCACAACCTCCGGAGCCACACTTCCACTCCCTGTCGGTTGTTCCTCCTCTCCCTCAGAGTCCGTCTCCACCAGGGGCGTGACAAAAATCTCTCAATTGGAACAGAAATAATTGGATTCAGTTGTGGTTGTACGTCGAGGTTGTACGTCTTACACCGTTGGGAGCAGAAAGCTGAGGATTTTATTTATAGTTTTTATTTAAAGTGGTATATGTTAGTGGTGCGATGGCAGTCAGGAGGCGGTGAGTTCAAACCGAGGTAGAGGCAGATATTTCTCTCTCTCTCTTGGGCAGGATGAGAATACATCTGCTGAACAAAACTCCGCCCTGGCAACAGGAAGGGCATCTGGCCAGTAAACACTCAGCTTCATTTAGTTGCCCAGACTCCACCTGGCAAGGGATTATGGGGTCATTAAATGAGGATGAGGATGATTTAAAATGGAATAGGTCAAAAAACAGCCCAGTAGGAAGTCCAGCACAACCAAGGCCGCTCTCGTGATATTAGTGGGCTTTGCACCGTGCGCTTAACCAACCATTTGTTGAGAAATCCCCCATCGAGCTGGCAGTTTACCAGCTGCCCTAGTTAAGTCTAGAGATCCGACAAAACCAAGGGAAGCTGACATTCAGCTGGATCGGGGCCAGTGGATCTCGCCTCCGTGAGATCGAACCATCCCTAAAGATGATACTCACGATCCCCTTTCATGAGCTGAGCTGCTGCCTTTCATTCTGTTGGTTTCCTTTGCAGAGAACGGCCTCGGATCCGCCTTTCCACCCTGGATGTGGTTGGCCTTCGGGGGCTTCCGGACGGGACCTTCGGCCGAGAATACATTCGTTTTTTGGATGATAATGTGGGTATCGTGACAGCTTACAAAGAGCGTTTGTCCTATGATGCGTTGTGAATTTCTGTTTTCATCAACGCTAGAAGGGAGGAGGGGGAGGAGGAATGTGGGGTCTTTGGTCCTCTCTGAGCTGGGTTGTTTTCTTGCAGACGTTGCATTACCTAAACTAGGTAACATCATCAGTGCTAGAAGAAATGGGGGAGTTAGTTCTCTCTCCCTTTTGGCCCTAGTGAAGTGACCTAGTTGGGTAATGAAACTTCTGCAGGGGAAAAAAAAAACCCAACTCAGAGAGCGCCAGGGATCCCCAAATAAGTACTTCGCATCCCTTTCACGCGAAACTTGTTCTGATGTTATTGAGATCTCCCCCAGCTGCCAAAACAGCACCAGGATGGCCCATAAACTGGGGACCCAAATCCAGTGTTGTGGTTTCATCGGATGGTGATTAAAATCAAAACGTGTGGGAATCATTGCCTTGATGGGAAATTTCCACTCAGAACCACTAGATGGCACTGCAACCCCACATTTGAAAAATGAACCACTGGTAGCAAAAAAAAAAAAAAAAAAAATACGGACTAGCAGAATTGGATAGAAACTTAAAGGTCTTCTAGTCCAGCGGTCGCCAACTGGTGGGCTGCGAGAAAATTTTGGTGGGCTGCAGAGAAATCCCACCCTTGACTTGAGGTCAGGATCTGAGCCCAGCGCAAAGCGCACGCACACACAGAGGACCGGTAAGGGCAAAATTTGGAAACCCACCACAGGTTAACAGCCAAGAGGCTAAAAAAGAGAGACTCTTAAACTGAGATAGTAAAGGGGAGCCGCCTGGTTTAACCATCAGTAGAAGTATTCTCCCATCTTCACTGGCCCATCGGTGGCTCCTTTGAGTGGAGGGCATTGGGAATAATAATAATAATAATAATAATAATAATAGTAGTAGTAGTAGTAGTAGTAATAGTAGTAGTAGTAGTAGTAGTAGTAGATTAAAATTGTACGCCACCCAACTCTCATGACGGTCAAACAAAGATATCACAATAAAATCAATCAAAGAATCCCACTGGGGCAGCCAGTGTTTATGAAGGTCTTCACCTTTGTCTGTAGCTAGGACCTTCCCTGTCATGACCCTGTTGGAGACTGACTCCGAGGGAGAGGAGGAACAGCCGACAGGGAGTGGAAGTGTGGCTCCTGAGGTTGTGGAGGAAGATGGGGAAGGGCACAGGCTGGCTGGTCAGTCAGAGGAGGACCCAGGCCCATTCCCATCCTAGGGCACGCAGGGAGAAGAGGATAAGGGAGAAACGTCAATGGCATGGTCTATGGGGGAGGAAAGGGCCTTGATCCCCTTCATGGGCTGCAGCTGTGAGAACTGGTTAAAAGGACGGACATGCGTATGGGCCAGTGCTGGAAACAAAGTGTGGAAATATTTCTAGTCTGTCCGTTCTTACCCGAGTTCTGTTGTCCTTCCCACTGTGTGTATTCCACTATCTGTGGACGTCTTCAAGCCCTTATCTTGCCTGGTTCCCTTAATTGTTTCTGTGTGGTTTGTGTTGTGTTTTTTTCTAGTTATAATTTATACGTATTTTTAGTTTAAATGGCATGTATTCCTTTTTGTGAGGGAGTTTTTTTTTGTTTCCGGTCAAGGATATTTGGAGTTTTGAAGCCAGGCTGAAGGAATTAAAGGGGCTTCACCTGTTTTTTTTGTGTGACTTTGTTGCTTTTGTATCCCACCCTGGGTCGTCACATTTCCCCATCTAGGAAATTAACAGTTACTTTTCTATTTTTTTTTTTAAATGTCCCAACGGGCAGAGGGTTTCTCCAGACACAAGGATGCCAGCCCGGTTCATAGACGACGAAGACCTGGCCTATGTCATCCAGCGTTACCGGGAAGTCCACGACCTGCTACACACCCTCCTTGGCATGCCCACCAACATGCTTGGTGAGTTGTCTTTTAACTCACAGCCGGGGGGGAGGGGGTGTACGTCTTGCGGCCTTCACTCCGCGAGGGATTTGGGGAGGCCTGAGCCGCAGGGTGCGAGAAGCGGGAGCGCCTGCGAAAGGACCGCATCCATTCCTGGCTGGGGATTGAGGTTTGCCGAAAGGGAGAATAGGTTCAGGTTCAGGACTTGGATTAAAATACTCAAGGTGGTGTCGGTTTTCATTTGCACAATTGCACAAGGAGGAAGGGCTTTTCAGACAAGGGTTTTGTTGTGTCCCTTCTCTGGAAACGCCAGTAGTCTTGTCTTCTAAACACATGTGAGGTTCTATTTTTCCCAATTCTTATCAAAATCTTTGGATCCCCACAGTTCTTTTTCTTCCCTTTTTCCTTTTCCTTTCCTTTCCTTTCTCTCATTTCCAAGTTCTTCCTTCCTTCCTTCCTTCTTTCCTTCCTTCCCTCCCTCTCTCTCTTCCTTCCTTCCCCTTTTCCTT